AACTGGGGAACAGGGTGCCCCAGGATGCTGCCTTATATACATGAGGGAAAATCCCCCAGGGACCGGTAATGGACCCCTGGTACCTAGCTGGGTAAGGATTACTAAGTATCATGTGCTCTATGATGTCATATATGATGTTATAGTCTGGCCCTGCCCTGCCCTGGGCCTAGGGTCCAGAATTGACCGGCCTATGGCCTAGTGCCTGAGCCTAGCTCCTACCTATGATGTCAGAATGATGTCATGGTCCAGAAGGAGCCTGGTTTCTATCTAGAAAAGGTCCGGCATCAGAGTCCAGCCTGATGTGTCCAGAACAAGATCATGTGTCGCTTATTTAAGCGGATAACCCCTTAGATATGCAGTTGTACCCATATGCGGATGGATAAGTATGGATAAGTCCCTATACCCTTTGATATGTCCGCAGAAATAGCGGAAAAATTAGGTAAAATTAGGGAAACTGTGACAATTGATCTTGCTATGCACTACAACAGAGCTTAAGAATGACAAATTTGTGGACATCAAACAGACCTTCAATGTGAGTCCGTGTTGTATGGTCCGTATTTACCGATTTGAATAGGCAGCTGATCACCTGTAATGGGAGCAATAATAGTACAGGGAGAAATTCGAAAGTTATCCCAGTTTGCGGTAGGCTAAGACAGACTATGAGATGCCGCTGCCATAGCTTGGATTTGATAGCTGACATACTGTGAGTCTTTGTGCACTATGAGTGATGGAAAGCGAACCAAAACCAAAACAGAAATGGACGAGGAAATAAGAAAACTGGAGAATAGTCTGTATTTCAACTCGCTCCCCCGTCGCCGTCCTCCTCGCTGCTGATGCATTGCATGACTGTTTCAGTATGAGTGAGATTCCCAACACATATCCCATATGTCCTATGCTCGCGCCGAGCTCTGCGGCTCACCTGCACATTCTAGTGTCGTATACTTCACCAATAAGCATGTTTGCTCCACTATCACCACTAGCAGGACACTGCACGCCATTGCAACTTGTCTCCTTGACATGACAGTCTCGCATCTTGGGGCTTCCTGCTTTTCATCTGGGATACCTGGCTGTGTATGCATGTGCAACTATCGTGTGCTGGCTGATACAGCAGGTGCTTGTTATCACATTGGCAAGGGGTGTTGCTCACATACACACCGTCATAATCACTCGCCATCAGTGTAGCTACTGGTGCTTTGCCGAGGGAGTTGTCCCATCTTTAGTGATTGGCATTTTGCTGCGCACCATGCATGGGCAGGCAGAGGCCACACTGAACACAGGCAGTCTCTTAATTGATGAGTGCACTGCAGGATGCTTAGATGGTGTTGTCTTAACTGTGAATATGCTCATGTCTTGTTGGGCAGCATCTGCTATGCAGTCAGGGCGCTACTTGTATGATGCAGTATGTAGGAGCTCTTAGCTCCTCACAGAAATCGGGATGCCGTCAAACTTCAGATATACGGGTACCCACATGTCTTGGTCAATTGTCTGTTTTAAGCCTATACAGCAGCTCGGTATCCAAGCCTGCGGATTGCAGATCACACTTGTCAGAGACGAGCACGATATAGTCAGGTGAGTAGTGAGTAGTGATGGGAAATGAAGAATGAGTTATAATGCTTTCCAGTCTGCTTAATTATTAATTGTGGTCAGGTATTGAGCTTGGAGTTTTGTTTCATAAGGTAAGGTCTTGCTGACTGATAATGTATGTCCACTCATACAAGCGGCTGTATAGGTGCTCGCAAAAGCCTCCTAGAAAAAGACATTTGCTTCCTACTATTTCAAATTGTACGATCATTGTTCAGTTGTGGTCATGAAACCTTCAGGAAGATTGTATACCACATTTATGTGTGTTCGCTGCAGTAGTAACTTCTAGCTGCATACACCTAGTATGCTGGTCAGACAGGAATGGAATTGAGCAAAGGGAAGAGTTCTGATTGGTTTTGCATTAATGTGAGTAGAGAAGATGTGAGAATAAGCTACGAGAAGCTGGGTGGTACAGAAGAAAGAGAGGTCGAACAAGGACATGTGTGGGCTAAGGCAGACCTTCCGGCGCCTAAAGAGTCTGACAGGCGGGGCAAATACATGATGCATTGTAGTAGGTTGTATAGTCACAGTAAGCTCAAACTTAGAATGACATGGCATGTGAAGTCATTCTGCCGAGATATCAAACTAAAATAATTCATGGTGCATGCTATAGACAACATTTGCAATGAGTACGAAAAACCAACATGTCATGGTAAGGAATGTGAAAGGATTGTTCATGCGATAAGAAACTATGAAAGCAATGGAAGTCCATACCGCACATCCATGATATATACTACATCGAAGTGATGCTGAAGGCATGAAATATGTTGGTGAGCTGACTGTGCTCACTCTGGTCAGAGACCGGCATTAGTACAATGCATATAATGCGTATTGATATACAGCGCACCTGAACAAAAATTCCGTCCTCCATCAGCATTGCCTTCTTGATCTTACCGAGACCAAGCGGTACTTGAATCTCCGTGTGTCACAAGTTGGTACGGCATCTAGCCGTTTTTTAATTTTTCCTTTTTGTGGGCTCGAACCCGTGACCTCTGTACTATACGCTTGAACGGACAAGTCGTTATCTACTGTACGATCAGATTAGATAGGACGGCAGTGCGTGGCACAGCTTGGGCTCTGCTGACACAGCCGCTCTGGCTCACCGGCCCCCGGGGCCATGTCAGCATGCTGCGCACAGACCAGCTGCGCACAGACCAGCTGTGCACAGACCAGCTGTGCACGGACCAGTGCACACAGCCTGCCCTTATCTTCCCCTGTATATAAGCCGGCCTCTGCTACCCTAGGGACCTCAGTTTTGACCTCTTGTTCCTAGGTCAGTAAGCTCCTTTGTATCCTTTACTTACCTTTACTAACTAATACATTTCTTGTCCCTAGCCTTAGGTTTGAGCGTTGCTCACCATCGCTTTGGTAAGAATCAGTCGGACGCCCCCAGCCTTTAAGTTTTCTCCAGTCGCTTAACCTCAAGTCGCGACATTAGGTCGAAACTCCCCAATGCTGCCGATGTTCCAGAAACCTACACACTTACTTCCTATAGGTCGGGTGATGCACACCCTTACGGTACCTTACGATACGTAGATAGCCTACTATACATCGCCACCCCTCGAGGAACGAACTCTTCAACACCGGCACTTCAGTGAGCGGTACTTGTCCTCACGGACGCGTAGCCTTGGTTCCTGCTGCATAATAGTCAAAAGCAGTATTGGGCCCTACGTGAACTGTGAACCTCAGGGTCTTCTCGGGCGCCGTAGCATAGGCTAGTGTAGTACGGCCATTTTTAGTACGCACACCTCCCTGTCCTCCCCCCACCCAACGTGACTGCCTGCCAAGGTCAAGTCCATGCATTCGACTCTCAGGACCTCATTGACGTCTATCTCCCAGACGGCCCTGAGCCTGCCCTCTACCGTTGCGAGCAGCAGCCGTGCCCAAACCGGACACCCCGATCGATCGCGGAAGACTACCTGCGCTACAAGGCGATCAGAAGGGCCCAACATCTGCTCGGTCCCCGCAGCACCCTCGCGTCTCGATCTGCCTCGCGGCATTCTCGCCCTGTCTCCCCCAGCTCCCGTCTCCCTCAAACTGTCGTCGCTGATCCAGGTCAAGCGCGAGGAGATCTCCCTCCAGACCCTGCGCCAGAGCCTGAGCCTGAGGAGAGTGTGAGTGAAGAAGGAGTCTCGGAGTCCGAGTCCGTGGATCCTGCTCGGCCCGCCTCGCCGACAGCGCTCGCCCCCGCGTCAGCAGTCCCTGACGTACGTGACCCCCCCACCGAACTTTCTCCGGCGCCTTCACCGCCGACTCCGCCGAGAGGCCGCTCGAGCACTCGCTCCTCTCGAAGTTCGATCGGCGGAAGGCCACCACAGCCGCCTCCGCCCCCGCAACGTCCTCCGTCCCCCCCAACGCCGATAATGTCATCCCCCGCAGCCGTCCCCGACAAGGAGACGTTGAAGCTCCTCCTCCCACTCCGATACGATGGCAAAACCGTTATCGAGTGCAACCGGTTCCTGTCGCAGCTGCGCATCTACTGGCTGGTCAACACGTCGTTGACCACCATCGAGCTTAAGGTCCAGGTCGCACTCAGCCTGCTCGATGGAGATGCCCGCGCCTGGGCCACACCTTACTTCGCCCAACTCGCGTCGGTGCAGATGGGTGTGCAAGGGGTTACAACCCCCTTCAGGAACAAAGCGCCCTTCACCGCTGCCTTTAAGGCCCGCTTCGGAAATCTCGACGACGAGGCAGCAGCACAAGT